CTTTGTAAGTCTTACAAAGCCTACCTATTAAGACACTTACATTAAATTATTCTTATTTCTTGTTTAGTACCATAAATACCACTTCTTTACAGATATACATAAAAAGCTATTTTAAAAATCTTAAGGAGTTGTAAAGGTATGAGCGAAGCAAGCTCCTGAAGGGTCATAAAATTTCTTATGCTTGAAATGACGCACCTGTCGATCCACCTCTGGGAGTAGTAAAAGCAGTCGCTGTTGGCAATCTCCAGGAAGGACTGAAAAGGTGTGTTTGTTGATCAGCGCTCGCAGATTTGTATTAACCAGAATGGAGTCTGGTGTCTCAACATCAATGTCAGCACATTTAGTCCTTTTCATTTGTCCTGCAAAAATATGGAAAAGAATCATTTCAGCTTCCCGCACAGTCCTGTTTCTACCTAAACTACAGCTTTCTGTGCAGTACAAAAAAACACAGTTATAAGCTTAAATATCACACTTTGAGGAAGGTAACACTTAAATATCTTAAGAATTTCTTTTAAAAATAACAAAATGAATTTTGTTGATTTATGAAGGTTAAAATATAATTTACCTTCTCTGCAAAAAATAGAACAAGGTCTGTAAAAAATGGATCTTCTGCCATACTAAAACTGTGTTTTATGTTGGAGACTAGGTTATTTCCCCCAAAAAACTGAGGAAGTTTATGATAAATGACACACACAAAGAATGTCTAAAAAAAAATAAAAACCCAAATCTATAAATCATACTCATGCCCTTTTCCTCTTTCTGTGAGAATTTTTTTCACTAATTTGCATTAGCTAAAAATGTTATGATTGAATGGCTTAACACTTTCAGGAAATCTGTCCCCAACCAGAAGGTTATAATCTTTCCAAAAACTGACAGATTTGAGTACACAAAGAATTAAAATGTAAATGAAAATATGAAAATAAATGAATACACACACACACACACACACACACACACACACACACACACGAGACTAACTTGGAAAAAAACATTTGCAAGCAATGACAAACAGTTCCTATTCTTCATATGAAAAGTACATTTATAAATCAATAAGAGACAAATACCATCAAGAGAAAAATGAGCAAAGGAAATTAATAGGTAATTAATTCTTAGTCCACTAATCATAAGTAGATGCTAAGATTAATATTTTAAAAATGCAAATTAAACCAATGAACAAAAAATATTTTTTGCCTATCAAAATGGCAAATACTGTAATATAGTGATGAGAATATGCAGGGGAAAAGCAAAAAGCACTCTCAAATACTGCTGGTGGGGCTGAAATCAGTATAATCTTATAGAAGAAAATTTAGCAATACCTAGCAAAATTTTAACATGCATAGGACTCTAGGACCCAGCAATTCTACATTTAGAATTAGCTGCACAAAGCTACAGAATCCTTGATGTAGGTACTCCCTGGCTCCTGGCCAAAGCACAAACAAAAGTAATTCCTCTTTAGAGAAAAGGATTTCCCTCAAGTTAGGCCCATAGGATTCCTATAAATTAAAATCCAGCATTACCTCACAAAGATTACTCAACAAATCAGAAGTTACGCTACTACAACAGTATGTCATTAGAAACCAGAAATAACAGATTTAGACCCAGAAGCACTGAAGCTATCAGATATATAGAATACAGAATAGATATGTACAAAATGTTTAAAGAAATAAAGAATGCGATTACAAAGATGAAGACAAAACAATCAGGAATGAATACACAGACTTTTAAAAAAAGAGACTTCTAGAAGTGTTGAATAAAATTGTTGAAATCAGATACTACGGATAGATTAAACAGCAGTTTATGCAATGTTAAAAGAGGTAGTTACAATGTAGAATATATAGCCAAACAATACCCAAAATATGAGAGAGAGATAGAATAATTTAAGAGGTTTAGCAAAGTCATGAAGGACAGAATGAGATGGTCTAACAAATATATGAGGGAGGTCAAGAATGAGAAAATTACAAGAATGGAAAAGGGCAATATTCAAAGAACTGACAGCTGTACATTTACCAGACTGATGAAAACCACAAACCTAAATATTTAGAAGTGTAACATATTTCAAGTAGGATAAAAAGCAATCCATGCTTATACCTAGCTTAGTAAAAGTGTTTATCGAAGACAAAGTGAATAGCTTGAAAGCATCCATAAGGATAGGAAAGATTACATAAAAAGAACAATGGACAGCAGTAAACTTCTTAACAACAAAGGAATTTAGAACAAAGTAGATAATGTTGAGCGAAAATAACCATCAACCTATAAAGGTAAGTCCTCCAAACTATCCTTCAAGAATGAACATGAAACATCTAAGACATTAGAAAGATAAATAAAACCTGAGGGCATTTACTACTAAGAAAACTGCTCTAAATAAAGTTCTTAGAAAATTGTACTTCAGGAAGGAAAATCATTGCAGAAAGATGAGTTGGAATATAATGGAGAAAGGTAAATATGTAGATAAATCTATATCAACATTGTTTATATGAAATAACAGCATTCTAGTGTCTGATTTGTGAGGTTAAAAACAAGGAACAGAAATGTTAGACAACAACAATATTTAAGTCCAGATGTCAAAAAAGGTTAGTGCTAAATTATTATAAAGTAATTCCACTGTTCTGGAGGAAAATCAAGATGGTGACTTTTAAGAATTAAACATGTTACATGTACCCATAAAATATGGAAAAGAATTAAACGTGTCCTATCATTTAAATTATCAACCACTAAAAAAATAAAAATAACAGATTAAAAGAATAGAAATTAAGTATATACCAAATTCAATAGGCTACAAGAGAATTAAAATGAACCATATACAAAAAATATTCCTCAGTAATTTCAAAAAAATTATTCACAAAATTTAAAAAAGAGTAAAGAAGGAAACAAGAAAAATAGAAATAGGAAAAAAAGCAACAAGAAACTAAGACTGTAGAAATAAGTCCAAATAGATTAACAAACACAATAAATATAAAGAAGTCAGGCACTGTGTGGCTCACTCCTGCAATCCAAGCACTTGGGGACTGTGGTCCCCAACCCCCTGGCTGGGGACAGCTAGCAGTCCCTGACCTGTAAGGAACCTGGCTGCACAGCAGGAGCAGCAGGAGGTGAGTGGCGGGCAGCCAAGCTTCATCTGTATTTACAGCCGATCACTTGCATCATCACCTGAGCTCCGCCTCCTGTCAGATCAGCAGCATCATCAGATTCTCACAGAAGCACAAACCCCACTGTAAACTGCACATGCGAGGGATCTAGGATGTGCGTTCCTTGTGAGAATCTACTGCCTGATGATCTGAGGTTGAGCTGAGGCAGTGATGCTAGCACTGGGGAGCGGCTTGCACATATAGATTATTATTAGCAGAGAGGTCTGACTGCAGAGGTCATAATAAATCAATTGCTTGCAGGCTCATACCCAAATCTGTGAGTGGCACGTGACAATGTAATAATAATAGAAATAAAGCGCACAATAAATATAATGTGCTTGAATCACCCTGAAACTATCTCCCCTCCCACCAATACATGGAAAAACTGCCTTCCACAAAACTGGACCCTGGTGCCAAAAAGGCTGGGGACTGCTGCTTTGGGAGGCTAAGGCAGGAGGATCACTTGAGCCCAGGTGGTCGAGGTTGCTGTGAACTATGATCACACCACAGCACTCCAGTCACACTGACAGAGAGAGACCCTATCTTAAAACAAAACAAAAGAAAACCCAAAGAAAATTCAGCTAGTTGCATGCTGTTTACAGACATATACATAAAGCAAAAGTACACAGAAATGAACAAAGCCATAAGTCAGGCAAAAACTAACCCTAGGAAAGCTTGTATATTCATTATATATCAAGCAAAAGATACTTTAATTAAAAAGCATTATCAATGATTGATAAGGTA